AGATCGCCCAGAGCAGCCGCGCCGAGGCCGAGGCCTGGTACCAGAGCAGGGTGAGCTCCTGGCAGGGAGTGGAGGCCCCTGGGACAGTCCCTGCTGTCCCAACCACCTGAGCCCTGGGTCGGTTTGGTCCCTGATGGGTCCCTTTGTCCCTGTGCCACCAGTACGAGGAGCTCCAGAACACCGCCGGGAAACACGGGGACAACCTGCGGAACACCAAGATCGAGATCCAGGAGCTGACCAGGAACATCCAGAGGCTGCGGGCGGAGCTCGAGAACGTGAAGAAGCAGGTAAAGGACCCTCAGCAGCTCCCAGGGTTGGTTGGTGTCTTTAGGATGAGACTGAGAAGATAAGGAGCAGATAAGAGGTTGGTTGGTGCCTCAGGGATGAGATTAAGAAGGGCAGGAGCAGGTAAAGGACCCTCAGCAGCTCCCAGGGTTGGTTGGTGCCTCAGGGATGAGACCGAGAAGGGCAGGAGCAGGTAAAGGACCCTCAGCAGCTCACGGGGTTGGTTGGTGTCTCGGGGATGAGATTGAGAAGGGCAGGAACAGGTAAGAGGTTGGTTGGTTTCTCAGAGATGAGACTGAGAAGGGCAGAAGCAGGTAAAGGACCCTCAGCAGCTCATGGGGTTGGTTGGTTTCTCAGAGATGAGACTGAGAAGGGCAGGAGCAGGTACAGGACCCTCAGCACCTCCCCGGTGACGGCCCCGCGCTGGGTCAGAGCTGAGCTGGGCGGGGTGGGGGAAAGGCGGTCGTGGAAATTCAGGTGCTCCAGAGGAGACGGATGGAGATGGATGGAGATGGATGGAGATGGATGGAGATGGATGGAGATGGATGGAGACGGATGGAGATGGATGGAGATGGATGGAGATGATGGAGATGGATGGAGATGGATGGAGATGGATGGATCCTGCCCGTTTGCCCTCGGGTTCGTGCCCTGAAGCAGCTCAGAACAGACCTCCCGGGCAGAAGGGACCTCACAAACTGGTTTTCTCCCCCAGAACCAGCATCTCCAGTCGGCCATCGCCGAGGCCGAGGAGAGGGGCGAGATGGCCCTCAAGGACGCCCGCAGGAAGCTGGAGGAGCTGGAATGTGCCCTGAGCAAGGACAAGGAGGAGCTGGCCCGGCTGCTGAAGGAGTACCAGGAGGTGCTGAACGTCAAGATCGCGCTGGACGTGGAGATCGCCATGTACAGGAAGCTGCTGGAGGGGGAGGAGAACAGGTACCTCGCCTCATTTGCATTCATTTGAATAAATTAGTGACGCCACGTGCGGGTAAAATCATTGAGTGCACGCTAAAGGTCGACTCAGCATCACGTGTGCTCTAATTACCAGGTATAAATTGTGTTTATCATAAATTAATTTCGTTAATTTTATTAAGTTTGTTTTCCATCTCATAAAAATACGAGGTTCGAGGTTGCTCTTTTTTTTTTTTTTTAAAGAATAACTGGGAATGTCTGACAAAAAAATAGGAAATCGGCTGCTCAGTTCTTTATAGAATAACCAGGAAACTCCTAAAAAATGGGAGAAGGTGGTTCATTTTTTTTCAAGAATAATTTGGAAACTCCAAAAAAACAGGGAATAGGTTGGTCATTTCTTGAAAGGATAATTGGGAAACTCTGAAAAAAACAGGGAATAAGTTGTTCATTTCTTTAAAGAGCAATTGGGAAGCCCTGAAAAAAAAAAAAAATAGAAAATCGGTTGCTCGTTTCTTTATAGAATAATTAGAAAACTTTGAAAAAATGGGGAATAAATATCTCTTTTTTTAAAAAAAAAAACAATAACTGGGAAATCCTGGAAAAGTAGGGAATCGGTTGCTGATTTTTTAAAAAGAATAACTGGGAAATTGTGAAAGAAAAAAAAAGGGAATATAAACACGTAGGGAAAGGGAAATTCCCAGCTGAAGGAGCGGGCGCTTCCCGGGGGATTCACGGCTCCTGTTTTCCCTCGCAGGCTCTGCAACGACAGCTCGTCCAACGTCAACGTGTGTGAGTGTCTGCGCCGGGCGGCCCTGGGGAGGCCCGGAACGGGCTCTTTTGGGAGAGCAGGTGAGTGAAGGTGAGTAACCCGCCCTTCTGCTCCTCTTCCAGCCGTGGTCGGCAGGAGCAGCATCTCCGGAGGCAGAGGCGGCGGGATGGGAGGAGGATTCGGCGGCGGCAGCTGCGGGATGGGAGGAGGATTCGGAGGCAGCGGGATGGGAGGAGGATTCGGAGGCAGCGGGATGGGAGGAGGGATGGGAGGAGGGGTGTGCGGCGGAGGAGGAGGAGGAGGAAGCGGCTTCGGCGGCGGCAGCTGCGGGATGGGAGGAGGGATGTACGGCGGGGGCTTCTC